GCTGAGTATAAACGAATCAGGGAAATCACTGCTATAAAGGCGCACCAAGGCTTGTTTATTATTATTTGGAAAAAATTTACTCTAGTATAAATGGTGTTGTCTATACGAACACACAAGTGTTTCACAGGGACCTGTTGCTCCAGTTTCGATTAGACCTGTATATGTATTAGTCAGAGGAAGATGTCATCGAAAACGAGTCTGTCCCCTACTTCTGTTGTTCTGTCAATGTCATAGTAGGGATCTTTAATGTATTTCAATAATCCCATTTGTTACATACACCCCCCCTGTTCCTCCCTGTTTTATTCACCTCATAGTCGAGTTTCCCAAATCGGAACGCACGTTCATATCGGACCGCTCAGCTGAGTGTTCACACACACATTCAACATGATACACAGTGCCAGTTTATCCGACCCAACTGTGGCAGCCTATCCGCACTTCAGTCCGTGCGGACCGGGCGGCGCCGGACCGGCAGCCCCACCTGCCTCGCATTATTCCACCTGTGGTCCCCCTACAGTAGTCGATCACCATCCGAATGCACTACTAACCAATGGCCATGGACGATCGCAACCGCATAACGGAACCGCTACCAATGGCCTGTCTCCGGCCACATCCGCAGCTGTGGCTGCTCTGACCGCTGCCGCAGCAGCCTCAGCTGGGATCCCGCCGAATGTAAAAGATTCCCGATGGCTTACCCTCGAGGTGTGTCGTCAGTACCAACGGAATCAGTGCTCTCGGGACGAGAATGAGTGCAAGTTTGCACATCCGCCCACGCATGTAGATGTGCAAAACGGTCGGGTGATATGTTGTTACGACTCAATCAAAGTGAGTGTGTTGTTCGATAAATGAGTGATGGGTAGGGGTGGAGAGTTGATCATTGAATGCGTTTTGTATGTAGGCAAATGTGTGTACCTATTAATGTTGCCAAATGCATGCACTGTGGTCATGACTCAAAATAACCACTAATCACCACTGTATCAAGCTGGAATATGGTGATCCGCAATTAACCTCTCGTTTTAAGCACTTTTCAATTCTCGCGAGAACACGTGATGCGTGCTATTTGGCTAAAGGGCAAATAGTATTTCATCAAGTCTACGATTAGCTTGCTCACGAACATTACTTTTAAATACTATCACGTGATCTAGAATGGAATTTGGTGGGGATCTTATAGCGATGAGGAACACTCGCAACATAATTGCTTAGTTTGCAGTTGGTGAACTTATTTAAGAAATTTTGGATTACCAGTTTCATGATTGATAACTGCTCGTCACGTGTGCATCATTCGGTTGAGAATCATGACAAATCTTGCTCAATGATAGTAACACTTAAGGGATCAACTGCGAAATTCACCCCCGAGTCTCATTTGTGGAATTTCATCTATTTGAAGGTATATTGTGTCCTTTGCTCGGTTGGATGGTTGCTCAGTGAATACATTTTCCAGATTCATTGAGTATTTCTTAACGTCTGCGCCAATTCCAAAGAATACTCCACAGGTTGTTCGTGCTAACCGAAACTTCCCCGTAACACCAACTTTTACGACAACACTGTGTTACTGAATAACACACATACACACACACACACACACACACACTTTTCACCCTTCTTGGAAAAAAAGTTGAGAGTTTGTTAGTTACTTCAAGTATGAGTCTCGGGAAGATTCTGCACGAGAGGCGATTGAACGGATCTAGTTGCACACAGAGAAAGTTGCAACCACTTATCCGCCCGTTCCGATTTGAACGGGGAAATGCAACGAGCCGATTTGTGCATCGTCCTGGTCATTCCATAGGCCTTCAGAGGGTAAACGTGACGATCTCCTTATTGTTAGACCCATTGATATACAAGAAGCACGTGATTCGATCGATCTGCTTGATTGCCTGGTCGTTTGCACGTGTTTTAAATGGCAAATCGGAAGTGTAGCGTTTTCTCACCGAAGCACTTGAATAATTCCTGTCCTTCGACTCCGACATCTCTTTCATCTGCCTCAGCGGTCTTGCTCCCATGGGCCTAATGTAGGTGAAATACGTCGTCTTTTTCATTTGAGAATGATAACATTGTGAATTCGAGGGGGCGTGTCCTCTACACAATTGTATGATGTAGTGTAGATAAATGGACGCATGAACAATTGAGAAGTAGAATTGCCTCCCTCAACTGATGGAGATTCTAAAGGGGGAGCGCGTTTTGGAGAAAATAAAGATCAACCGATAAGGATACCCAGTGAAGATCGGACGCATATGCATTTTGACGTTGAGAAAAAATGGTGCTTCTCTCTGCGGTGCTGTTCCGTAAGATAGAAAAAAGACGGATCGTTCACTGGCAAGAATCCGGACCCGGAACCATTTTCCCTGGAGGGACTGTCGAATGCACCAGCAGTGCTATCAAAACTTTTGAATCACCAACTGGATGACTCCGAAACCCACAGTCACCTGCCTGCTTGATGCTATTTGTGTTCACCAGCAATCATTTCCCTTCCCTGTTAATTTTGATTCTTAATGTTGTGTTAGTAATTTTATACGTGTAAATGTATATTGGACTTCTTTTACCGATTAGTTGGTCACACTCGATACTTTCCGCTTTGTAACCCGTATGTCCTCACACTGCAGTCAGTCTTCTCCAGCACCAATCCACTGTTGCCTGTCACCTAATTCTGAGCAAGTCCTTGAGAAATTCACTTTGTGAACTCGTTGTTCGTTGTTGTTGTCAAGGCTTGAATTGATCGATAAATAAACGAAAACTATTTCACTATTCTCATCCGTCGTCAAAACGTGTGTGTGTGTGTGTGTTTGTGTATAACATCGCGAAGTTTACGGAGACGATAAACTTGTTTCCAGCCCCGGGTCTCTTGACATATCACTTAAGAATTGTGGTACCTTTTTCTACTCTCCTTCCGCCTTCCCCGGTTCCCTCTTGTCAGTTCATGGATTGCGGTCATTTTTTGCCCTGTATGTGTGTGTGTGTGTGTGTGTGTGTGTGTGTGTGGTTGTGTCGAACTGGAAGTATTTGAACGGGTAAAATGAC